GTTAAATTTATATTAAACTTTTTCTTCATTACCAATTCAAGCCGTCTCCATCCATTATTATTCATATACATTAGGTTTAGTGTTATGACATATAAAAAATCAATAGAGGCTATGTCATTGAACATATCGGGTAGTATTCGACTCGGTAGCATGGGATTTTTCATGGTTCGTGAGGACCTTTTTATTTATTCAAATTTCGTAGCCACGATTTTTCTTTGACAATGTTTTCTGAATAAACAGGTGTAGAACGTTTATTCAGGCTCCAGTCATTGAGGAAATCATTTTTGTTTCACCAAGAATTACCCTTCTGTGATGCCAAGGCTCAGTGAAGGCATTTTGGAGTTCATCGGAACACCATCCACTCCTTCTGCCGACGGTTTCAACAAGCAGGAAATGTCCGAGATTGACCACGTTCAGAACGTCCTCGTGTAACGTCACGTCAACAGGACAACCATATTAGACTGGTTCACCTTAGAAATCGTTTCCAGACTGCAAGTTTGACTACTCACAGCATTCCTGGTCTTTGACCGATTAGTCACAGAACAGTGCATAACCATCTGCACACACACAACATCAGACCAACACGTCCTTTTGAACACCAGCATCTTTCAAATGCCCTAAAAATTACGTTTGGTGACGTTAACATTAATTGACTATGAAATTTTGTAACTAATGCATTTGTTAACAATACTGCAAAATTAAAATTATATTTGTTTGATTTTATTTGATTTGTCTCATATTTTAAGTGATGCACAGTTTCTTTTTCCACTAGTATACTTAAATTTTATTGTTTGATGGCCCTTTGAACAGTGACTAACTATTATTTGTGCCATTGTACGTTTTAAAATCTCTTGGTGAACATGTAGCTCATGTCACCCTACTGAATTACATAATGCATGGGCTGCTCACAAGATGCTCATGAGCATACCTTATGAATAATTTTCATTATTATTATTTATTTTATCTAATCTAACCTTAAAAATTTATAATTTTTAAATTTTAGTTACTTTCACAATAATAATAAGTAAAGAACACACATGAAAAGCAATAAATAAATACTTACCTGGATATTTTTCTTTTTTTGGCTGTTACTTGTCAATGACACTTAACCATACTTTTTTTATACTTATCATACTACTGCACTAAATAATTTTGTATTCAATTAAATAATGCACCAAAGAACACAAAGTAATAATGTGCAAAAAGCAGACAATGTCCCATAGTTATCACAACTTTTCTGGCTTTCTAACTATGCAACAAGAGTCGTTAAAAATTCAGTTAAACTTGTTTAAGTGTTTTCTATGGGAATACAGTTTGAACTGGAAGCGAAATAAACAATTCTGTGTACAGAAAACAATGTATCATAATACATCACTTGATAGATTAAAACCAAATAAGATTGAAGGCTATAAAAATTATGCTTTGCCTGAGCAATGACCATATTATTATGAGTGATTTATGTTAAATTTCATACTTCTCAGAGGTGTGATAAATAAATTACAGAAAAGGGGATAACTAGAGAACAAATGTCAATTCTCAGACTAGGGAAATTTAGGATTTTATTAAAATATTGTCTTATAAAACTAAAAACTTACATAATATTAAAATCTGGATTATTAGCTATGTTTTTATGCCAAGTTTATTTATATACCATGAGAAGAAAGTTGTTTAATTAAATTTTGAAAATAACTTAATAAAACCTCATGACGTGCACAAAATGATGCCTGTTCTAAAACTCTTAAGTAAATGTACAATTTGGCTAATTTTTTGAGCAACAACTTGCATACCCAACTCTGCCCTTGGTGAAAATCTGACAGATATTATGAAAGTCTACAAGTAAAAAAAGAACTCCAGTTCATAATGAGCTTTCTTTTTGAAGTTTTTTTACTGCACTTAAATGTCTTACCTTAAAAGTTTCACAGGTTATTTTAAAGGAGACTGCACTCCTACAAGTTTTTTCTCTTCAAAATGATGAAAACAAAATGCACAAATTGGCTAAAAATGAACGAAATCTCTTGTGAGGATGTTCAGTAGCATTCATTCTCTACCAAAATTGTTGTATGATGGGAAGTGAAATCGAGTTGAGACATTTGACAGAAATGGCAAAGCAGTTGCATCACATCTTGTTCAAATCAGCCCATTTCACAACAGAGGTGGTTAAGATTTCTACTGCCTAAATTTGGTACATTTAATGCATTAAGCTTAATAAAAATCTTGAATTTTGCTTCTACAGGAAACAATATTCTACATCAAGAAGTAAGAAATATCCTAAAAAAATGTTAATCATGAAATAGATACTCTATAATTCAGGCTTAAGTGCTTATTCTAACTGTAGTATAAACCAGAAATTAAATGATGTGAATCGGAAAAGAGTGAGACTTAAATAGCAAAAATATCCTTGACATGTAAAATTTTGTTCAAACTCCACTATTTACAATAGCTATTGCAGTAAGGATATAAGGGATATTCTATAAAATATTTTTTATTTTTTAATATATGGGATAGCTTAATATGAATTTGGTTTGTTTCTGGACTACCAAGTTTGGTCTGGATAGATCAACTCATTTAGTAGGTGATGCATCCACAGACAGACAAAGTTTTCCTCGCTACTGAATACTTATCACACCAGTATGGCTTAATATGTATAATGCATACGTGAAGAGCACTTATTCAGATTTTTATACTCAGTTCTGCCTCGCTTCTCTCACCAGAGCTAGATAAAATTGTTTACACTACACTTTACAAAGCCCTTTCCTTTTATCTCAAAATTCTTCTTCAAAAATTTTAAACTAAAACTTATTTCGGAAAGTGAAAATTATTTGGATTCTTCAGAGCAAGACTTATAACATATTTATAAATTTTATAGAACAGGTAGTTTACATATAAGCCATGAATAAAAAATATTACACAATTAATTTTCTTTGTTCCAGTTTCCTAAGGCTAAGAAGTTCAGTATCCCAATCTCCTTTACTGAGTTATCCATAAAGGTAATACTTGATAACAGATGACAGAATATGTTTGTGTCCTTAAAATACTCTTTTTATTTAAAAAGTGTAATGAAATTATGATAAATAAAATATCACATGTCTATACCTACTTGAATTCAGAATATTCCATTCTTCCATCATTGTTAGCATCATAAAAGCGAAATATGTAACGACACCTTACTTCAGCAGGAGGACCACCATGCTGTGTGCATGGTTCCATGGCTGCAAGGCCCAATACTACATCTTTATAGGTGAGAATCCCACGGCTGAGTGAATCCAGTGCACTAGAAAATATTAAGTTACAAACACAAAACACAGAAACTTTTTTTTTAAATCTTTTATTTGTAAGACGTTCAAATCAAACATTCAAAGAGTAAATGAAAACACATTTTAAAAGTTGTTGCTGAACCTTATGACTTTTTAAATATTTGGCAAAGTATCTGTCCCATTTTACTTATTGCAATATTTAGTGTTAATATGAGAATATACATATTATTATGCTTGGTCATTACAAATTATTCTTCACTCCAGTTTTTCTTTATTACTGTTATAACCAAATACAGATTTAGTTATTTACTTAACCCTCTAAGATACCAGATCAAATACTACACCTACAGATTTAAGAGAGCATAATGTTCAAGTTGTTTTTAACAACATAATAAAAATAAATTCTTAATTATCAAGAATAGTCTTAAACCCCAGGAAAAGTACATATATTGCAAAATATGGTAGTAAGTCTTTCCCAGACTGACAGTGTCTGTCTTATCACAGAAGACAGGAAAATCACAAAAGAGGTAAACGATTGCAAACCTTCATTTGTTTATTTTTTTTTATAGGTATTTAGGTTAAGGTATAATGAATACTTTATGTGTAGCTTCAATAAACAAATTTCTCCCAAATCTTTATATTCAGGTATAATAAATACTTTCTATATAGCTTTAAGGTACAAATCTCCTAGTGAATTTTTATATTCAGGTACAACAAATTCCTTCTATATATTACTTTAAGTGACAAACATTATAATCCCAGCTTCTACATTAAATATAATGAATACTTCCTACATAGTTTAAGGTACAAATCTTAAAAGTAATTTTATACAAGTTTAATAAATACTTTCTCTATAGCTTTAGATGCAAATCATCTCATGACTTTTTACGTTAAGGTATAACGAATACTCTCTACGTAGCTATAAGGTACAAACCTTCTAAGGAGTTTTTATATTAAAGTATAATGAAATCTTTCTATACAGCTTTAAGGTATAAACCTTCTAATCAATTTTTATATTCAGGTATAAGGCATACTTTCTAAATAGCTTTAAAATACAAACCTTCTAATTAATTTTTATATTAGGTATAATAAATACTTCCTATATAGCTTTAACATGAGAACTGCCAAAGTAATCAACTTCGTGGTTTTCACTTTTAAAATCTAAATATCTTTGAGTGTATGAAAAATATGCTGTTGCCCATTCTTGACTTTTCCTAATTCTGTGCATTTTTAAATACCCTGACTGTTTTCAAATGCAGAAACACAAAAGTAAATAAAAAAAGTTATAATCACTTTTACCTAGAACCACTAAAGGCCCATCAATTTGACTGTTATTTACAATACATACTCTTATTTATAACAACAAATAATTCAGGTCTTTTTGTTTGTATTGCAAGTAGCCTGTAGTTTCAGTATAGATTTCTGTTCTTATTTCTATCTCCAAATGAGCACCCAGCTCTCTGATTACATTTTGGCCACTGAAGTCTGAGAGAACTGATGTCTATATGTTGGCTGATGTGAGTACATTTGAGCATAGTCTACCTATAATCCTATCGATTCCAGTAATAAGTGCCACCTGCTTGTCTTTCAATTTGAGTATACAGTAACATTGCCTACCCATAATTCTATCAATTTCCATGAGAAGTTGTGTCTGGTCATCTATTGATTTAAGTGTGTTGTTACGTATTGCGAATTTGAAATAGTCCGAAGCCGATATTTTAGTTAATTTACGCTATTTGCCAACAAGATTGACACACACTCTTTTCGTTTTTAACACAAATACGTTTTAATATATATATATACAGCAGTACAATTTATAACAACAATTATTACGAATAATTACCACAAACAAAGTTTTATAAACAACATAGAATCCTCTTTCTATTTCAGTCTCCTTGATATCTAGGGAGTTAACTTGAAGTCGATGTACGTACAATTGCCAAGAAGCTAGCTAGCTTTGTCAGACACTGAATTGTCAGTCCGTTGAAGTAAGATAATATTTTCATAAAACCACTAATGTCTGTTGAGAATTCAGTAATACTTTTGGAAAGATACTAATGTCCGATGAGAATTCACTAACGTCCTTATTATCACTCACATTCCATGCATCAGAATCATTTCTGAGAAAGTTGTGAGCATCTCATTCACTTGTTGAGCAGGCATTTGTTTTTCTTAAGCTGTTTTTGAGTTTCTGTTACTATATATATATACACACTGTAACAAATTTATTGTTATGTATTTATTTTTAATATGAACATTGTTTAGATTAAATTTGTATTTAAAAATATGTGTAACTTATAGTGTCAGATATGTATTGCATGTAACGCCTTTGTTATATATTTATTTTAATGACAACGTTTGTTGGAATTGAGTTTATATGTAGAAATGTGCCTAGCTTACAGTGTTAGTTATGTACTGCGATACTCCTACCAATTCTCCAAGGTTGTAGAATATTCGTGAACGTAAGAATCGACTATATACCCACTTCCGTAACCGGTTAAATATAGCTCGGTATTGTTGTCGGAATGTTCGAGAAAATCTTTCCTGCACCTATAAAACAGCCAAGGCAAGGCGCCAAAAAGAGAGAGCTTAAAAAGGTGGCTAGGAACCAGCTATAACCATGTACACTATAAATTGTGATTTTGCTAACCTTTATCAACCAGAATATTTACGACATTTGACTAGGAACAGTTATAAATTTTCACAGAAGAAGACACGGCAGAAGCAGCAGTCCTGGACAATCCTCTGCAGTGCTAGCCGTATTTACTTGGAGAGTTTATGGTCTCAACAATGGGCAATTCCTTTTTTTAAAAAAAAGATAATGTCAAGGAATTAATTTTAGGAAATCTAGAGATTTATGCATTTTTACTTGAGAGCAATGTGAAGTGCCTGGCTTCAAACAGACAAATTTGCCTTGACATCAGAATTTGGAATGGCTTCATTGAAAACAGCAATGCCTGCTACAAGGTGGGAGAGAACATTACTGTGGATGAGCAACTTTTTTTCATAAAAGCATGGTGTCACTGGACATAATACATGGCAAAAAACAAAAGTTTTGGCTGGCAGTAAACTTACCTCAAAATAAATTCTGAATAATTTCACTACCTGAGCAAAAATGACATTCACCCAGCTGGTCAGAGACTAGCACATAATGTGGTATTCAGGCTGATGACATCAGTACAATTTAGAAATACAATGGCTGTACTACTTTGTGTTAATGTGTTTCCCATGGGAATAGTTTGAACTGGAAGCAAATTAGACAATTCTCTGTACAGAAATTAATGTAATATAATACATCATTTGATAGATTAAAACTGGCTTTCTGTTGGTTGTAAATAATATAGTATTAAATATGTGAGAGAACTATTGGGAATTTGTGAAAGAAAGAATGTGACAGGTGAGCATGGCAAATGGGGTCTGTTTTTCTAGTTTATAATTCTGTAACCAAATAAGATTGAATACAAGTTATGCTTTGCCTGAGTAGTAAAATTATAATGGGTAATTTACACTAAATTTCTTACTTCTCAGAGGGTTGGTAAATAAATTACAGAAGAGGAAATAACTAGAAAGCAAATGTCACAATTTTCACACTAGGGAAAATTGAGGATGTTTTTTAAATATTATCTTACAAAATTTAGAACAGAAAATACATATAATATTAAAATTTGGATTATTAGCTACATTTTGATGCCAATTTTATTCATGTACTGTGAAAATAAAGTATGTTTATTAAATTTTGAATGTAACTCAGTAAAACCATGTGACATGCATAGAAAAAGATGCCTGTATTCAGAGGGTTAAGTGACAAACCACCTTATACTTAGTTTTAATATTAAGTATAATGAGTACTTTCTATATAGCTTTAATGCACAAACCCTCTAACAAATGTTTATATTCATGTATGATGAATATTATCTATAGAACTTTAATATGCAAAAAATCAATTAAGTTTTTATATTGAACAATAATAAATTCCATATATCTTTAAGAAGAAACCCTTGTGATGAATACTTTCTATATAGCCAAACACTGTATTCAAATGAACAGTTGAGTGTGTATTAAAAAAAACACTTCAGTAATTTAAATGCTATAGTCAAATAAACATATCAAAAGAAACAAGTTAGTAAGCAGGTATAACCAGCTATCTGTATATACAAAATATAAATACAAACTAGTAGGTAATGTATTCTAAACAGTATAAGTTTGTTAAGAAACTGAAGAAAATTTCAGGTCTCCTATTACAAGCTAGCCTAAGTGGTACAATCCACAGACATGAAATGCTTTTCAACTTTTGCTGTGCATTTACCCCCACACAGGTCTTTCACACAGCATATTTATCTGAAATCCTGTTTGTTGCTTTTAGCTACCTGGCATTGTTTTCTTTTATGTGTTTCTCTGAATGCAGCACTGTATTTAGGCTGAGATGCTTGGTGTTTTGCATTTTTATCAATCTTGTTTTAGTCAGAGCTCTGAGGCTAGCTTCAAGTAGAAATCCCTCCTACTTATACTTTCTCCAGTTCGTTCCTTGTACAAAATGAAGGAAATAATGGCAGCCAGGTCCAGGACATTGTAAATTACAGGAACTGGCCACTGATGAAAACCAGCTTTTACTGATGGTCTGCAACATCCACTCCATACTTTATCAGGAATTGATGGCTGCCAGGTCCAGGACATTGTAAAGTACAGGAACTGGCCACTGATGAAAACCAGCTTTTACTGAGTGCTGATGGTCTGCAACATACTTTATCAGGTTGTAGAAAAGCACAGATTCTGGTTCTTTCTTCTCAGTATTGTCAATGCCAACTAACATGTAAAGAGAGCTGAGAATGCAACTATTCTCTTCCTTGGCTTGCACTTATAGATAGTCAATGTAATACAATCATTATGTTTCTAAATTTTACTGGTGTACAGCTCTGGTTGTAAGCTCTCTTCTTAACTTTTTCACTGTTCCAAATAGGCTGATTTTTTGTTTTTTCTGCAACTCTTTTGTGAACTGAAGCAAAGTAAAAAATTGCCT